TTCAACAATTCTCGCAGTTCGCCTATATGATCTGTGAAACACCAATTCTTTTGCAAAAATGATTCACTCTTTAACAATTTCGCTATAAATATATTTAAATCTGGCCAATATTTGAGAGAGAAGCAATTTTCTCATAGGAATATAATCCTTTCATCAGCTGCAGTTGCAATAACGTCGTTACTAATTATCTACCTAATTATTTTCATTCTACTCAAACAATGTTTACATGTCGTGTGCTAATGCATCCGTAAAGCCGCACGCATGATTCGTTCGGTAAACTGGGGGCAATGCCTTTGTCTCCTTCGCGAATTAATTTCAAGGGCGAGGACCTTTTATAACAGACCTTATATCCGTTTAAACAAAGAGCATCTTCGTATAACTTAGCGTTGCGTGAAATACGATGTCAAAGGGAGGAAGTTCCTCTTTTGGAAAGACATGCGGACTTACTGAGGTTTAAACGTGTGAAAAAGGAGGAATAAAAATATTCCTTGAAAAAAAAAATTTAATTTTCAAAAATGCAAAATATACCTCTCTTTTGTTTCGAAATAAAAAATGGAAGATATATAAGAAAATAATTTATTGGTTGTTATCTCAGACAGATAACTAATGTTGATAGATTAATAAAAACTTAACAAAATTTTTATCACGATACTACACATATTAAATCTTTAAAAATAAATCTGTGTTAATATTTATTTTTTTTTATTTTCAAGCTGTTTATGTTTTTTAAATATACTTCTGCAGAGTAATGCAAAATATTAGATCAATCATTTATTCATGCAGAGTAATGCAAAAAGTTTTAATTAGTAAAAAATAGAATTTTCATAATTTTCTAAATTGATAGAACTTTTATGATATTTTACTATCATTAAAAATTAATGTAAAATAGTTAATATATACTATATATTAAAACGCATTTTCATAAAATAACTTGCATTTCGATCAATATTTAATTGATAATGAAGGAACCGTCGAAACCCATAAGCATTTATCGGAAAGAATTCATTTTATGACTTTTACCATACTTCGATAAATTACCTTATAATTTGATTTTTACCATACTTTGATAAATTACAATAAAAGCATGAGATCTGATTGAGAGGCAGCGCGGAACAATGCGCAAACCCACGAAAATAAAAAGTCTATAAATGATAAAATAATGAACAATAGACAATACATTATACAATAAATTCAACTAACAAACGAAAGTTCAGAAATGATCAAATATATCTTTCGATGCCAATATTTTTATGATTCTTGGGACAAAAAATATTCGTGTCGCATAAATGTTTATCACCATGCAGTTTTGTTTTCAAGTTATGAATTTTTAAAAATCCGAAAAATTGGACCACTTCTGAGAATCGGGTTCTCATTCGAAGTTCGGAATTTTTTTTTCTTTACGGGGATCCTAAAGCCATTTATATTACCGACTGAAAGCAATAATCTTTTTTTGTATAATTATTTTTTCCTCTTTTACAGATTTGAAAATCCTTTTACAAAATTAAAAAATACATATTAATACGTGTCGGTGAGGTGGAGCTTATGCCGAGGAAAAAAATTGTTTAAATTGAAATCTTCTTTATCATTTGTTAAGGGGATGCTGGAGCCGTCTGTATTACCGATAAAACTAGCATTTTTGACGTTTTTGTTCCTGTCGAATTTCTTCGTAGTGGTTTCACGGAATAAAAATTCCTTTTCGACATTAGAGCTGTCGATATTGTATATATAACAACATTTATATTTAATATAAAAGTTTTGGAATCTGTACTTATGAAATTGTGGTCCACAGACTAGTAGTTTATACGAACAAATAACGTGGAGTTCTTAGAATTAGACTTATATGTCTAATTAAAATGTTATTGTTCTACGAAAATTTGTGCATATATGCATGCGTGAGATATTGATATACTAGTATATGAAGATATGCCGATGTGTCACATTTTATCGGTAAAATCGTGCGATCTCGTCGGAGTTCGATCTTCACTTTAGAATCCCCTGTTGTGTTTGTTATTCCTTTCAAAAAATTGAAATATCGATATCGTACAGTATACGAATTTTTGTAAAAATGACTAAAGGCGACATGTTAATCATCTTATAGCTTTATCCTTTATCCATATAATAAAAATGATTTTTGCAGATATCTTTTAATCGTCTTTAATCCTTTTTTTAGTTTTTATATTTTGGCACATATGTAACATTTGATATCAAATCCATGAATTAATTTTTATACAAAACTAAACAAAATTGTATAACTGTCAATATATGTATGTACACATCTCATTTATGTATCTTGCGATGCTTACCGTATGTGCAAGAGCCATTATCTTTCATCAAAATCCTCTTTGGGGATTCGCTTTCAAAAAATTATATTAGAGTGTTCATTATAGAACACGGATAAATTTCTCATAATGCTGCACCTTTTATTTTATTCTACCTTGTATAATTTTCGAACACGAGAAACAATTCCACAATGTCTGTCTAGTGGCGATCCCGATTATTGCTCGCGAATGAATGATGAAAAGTATCAAAATAGTGGAAAGATATTTTTTTCATATTGCCTTTTCAGTAATATGAAGAGATATCTTTTAGTGGCGACTTTTCAATTTGCTAAAAACACAACCATTGAAAACATTGTATTTTTTAAGTTATCTCTTCGACATCATTTTTTCGTCTTGCCAAAAAAAAACTAAAGATGATATCTTTTCATTTTCAAACATATTTTCGCTTTGTCGAAAAGACAACTTAAAAATAGACATCATTTCGTTATCTCTTAGTATTTTGTGCTGTCTAATGGGATCCTAAAGCAAAGGCCGAACTTGATCTACATCTTCAATAAAAAAATTTTTCATGCATGAATATATATACATATATAAATATACATAAACATGTTTAAATATTCATAATTATATATGAAATATGTCCATACATGTTCATATATCTTTCTTTCTTTTGTAAAATTACTTTTCAGTGTAATATAAATAATAGTAATAATATAATAGTGAAAACATCAAAAATGATTAAAGCGATAATTTTCGCATTGTTTGTTTTAGAAAAAATCAAATTTGGAAAAATGTAAAAATATTGCTCATATATATAATTATGTATATTTTATATATAATTACACTGATTACACGAAAAAAAAAGATACAGTTTACACATAAACCAGAAATATTTAGTTGCGAGCAATATAGTTACATCATCCTAGTTATCTTTGTGTGATAACCCAGTAAAAGAGAATGAATTAAAATGGATTGAAATTTTTTTTCTATCCGAATGCGTATTTTAAATAGCGAACACTTTTTTTTATTTAATTGGATTCAATTGGATTCAATTAGATTCAATCAAAAAATTTTATTTAATTGGATTCAATTGGATGCAATTGGATTGAAAAACTGCATTTCCTATTCAAAATTTTGAATTGAACAGTATTCATAATGCACAGAAAAAGCTGATATTATTTTTAGATTGAAAGGCATAGAGATATGCTCCATACAATTCCTATAAATGAATAAAAATACATTCAAGATTGAAAAGCATTCATTTTAACATTCGTTAATTCATATTTCTGGATTCTGAAAAATCTGAATCCATTTCAATCCATTTCAATCCATTCTCATTTACTGGGAAGTATATGTATGGTTGATATGATCTATTTACTTTGATATGCCATATTGATGTTTCGATTACATCAATATGTAGTTACGCGTGATCTGGTTGTGACAACCAAAACTTGGTTGGTATCATTTACCGTAAAAAAACTATGTATCGGTATACCTACGTAGAAATTGCCAACATTGTTTAATTGGTTCAACATTGGCTCAATATCGATAGCCAAGAATTGCAAAAAGTTGTTGCAAAAAGATTTTGCACGAATATGGCTAAAGTGTTTTCCCCGTAAACCGAGATATTAATCGTTAAAGTTGACGACTATTCAGAAAATCCGTCACATCTATGATATCATATCTTACGTATATTTCTCACATGTATGTAGAAAACCCAAAAATAAAAAAAATTACTAAGAAATGTCATTTAAACGCATTTTTGGAGTTGCTTATAGCGAGTTCTTCTAATAAATTTTCCGAGCGAATGACACTTATTTCAGTCAACAAGAGGTAGACTATAACTTCTAACCGTTACTTTTTTCAAAACTAATTAGAAATCTGGGTAACTTTCCTTGTAAGTGCAAATTTACTAAAAAGATTTCCTACTGAAATTATAAATTATACTTTAACTCAGCAACTGTAAGAAACCATCGATTAATTTATAAGTTGATCCCCTTTATAATATATGTCAAGATCAAGATTAGCAGCGAGGTGTCCCCTAATGTAAAGATTTGCTGTCGCCAAGAATAAAAAAATTATACAGATTATTTTTAAAGTCTTAAACATACTTTTGAAAATATATTTAATAAGTGCTATAAAGATAAGAAATCTCTCTTGATCAAAGATTTTATGTATTTACAACATTGTAATTTTCAAAAGATGTTTTTAAGACTTAAAAATAATAATTTAAAGAGAGGTATTTATAAGAAATTAGATAGATTTAAAAACAAAATATTAGTCTGTATATTAACACATAGTTGATATATTAATTTTAAATATTAAAAAGTTGTATGTATCACATTTTGAGTTATAAAAAAATTATTTTTGGATAACATCTTTAAAAAAAGATTAAACATATAGTTCTTGCACAGGTCAGATTGACAATACATTTATGTAAGTCTTTTAGTTCTCGTATGGTTTCATAACATAATTTTAAAAATTCTTGATCAACCTCGAAAATAATTTGTTTAATTACTTTCTGCGGAATTAACTGAGTTAATTAATTCGGATTCTCAACAACAAATTATTGGCAATAAAGCAATATAAAAAAAATAAAATAAAGGATGAAACAAGATTCATAATAAAATTAAGAAGACGATAAAAAGTAGAACAATACATTAAAAATAAACCATTTTTAACAAAAAAATAATGATATAAATATCTGTACTAAAAGGGGTACGAAATAACAGCAGAAACAGAGAGTAAATTATTAATTAGATAATGTATAAACATCATATGGAGCAAACACCACTGAATCTTCTTGGAACATGTCTGGTATCCATCTTGATCGATCACACAAGAGTTTCTGTTATACAAGGTGCATGAACTTCAGCGACAACTTGAAAGATGTCCATGCAGTACGATGATGATCTTCGTTGAATACCATAATCCTCGTTATTAGAGGAACACGCCTTGGATCAGAAGCGGGATATCTCCGACTCCTTAACAATGTCAATGATAATCTGATTTTTATTGACTATAACTTTGCTATCATCAGGTTCTTGTTTTTTATTATCGACATCCTGTTTGTTATTACCAATGTCCTGGTTATTATCGTTGATGTCTTGATTGTTACCATCGATTTCCTGATTATTATTGCTGATATCTGGATTGTTATGGTCGACATCCTGATTATTATTGTCAATGTTCTGGTTGTTATTAACGTTCTGATTGTTATTGTCGATATCATGATTATTGTGGCCGATGTTTTGATTATTATCATCGAGATCCGCCCGTTCGGTATTCTCCGTACCGTCATTACCGCCGTTAATATCATTCCTTGTCCTTCGTTCACCAAACTGTCGTTGGTAATATTCCTCACGCATTAACTCATTGATGTTACGCCAGCGTAAACACATTATTAAAATAAATGGTTTGCGAATCTCCTTATTGAAAATCGCGTAGATGATTGGATTCAACGCACTATTACAATAACCAAGCCAAAGGAACAGAGATGATACTGAGTGCGGAATAGCATCAGGTTTGTAGAATGGTCTAATTAGTGCTAACATAAAGAATGGTAGCCAGCAAACAATAAAGGCACCAACGATGATGCCCAAAGTAGTGCTCGCCTTTCGTTCACTTTTTCTTCTCCTTAGCTGACGTTTATTACAAATGCAGGCCCGACTGTTACCGGTCCTCAGTATTCTTATCGATTTTTGTAACATGTTCCGCATAAGACTCTCTCGGCGTTCGCTGCTGAAGTGACGCCTTGGACTACCTTCGCTCTGTAGTAAAATAATTCAGTAAATAACGTTATTTGCATATAAAATAGAAAAAAAAGAAGAAAATATATTTTAGTAAAAATTGCATTATTTTAACAAAGAACCCCGCACAAATCTTATGGAAAATGAGTTTCGGTCAGATTCCTTTAAATTTTAATATTTTGTACCTCATTTGAAACTGATTAAAATTCTTCATGGGTTTCCAAATGTCTTAGTTTTTGCTCTAGAACTTTCAAAAAGTCTTTATATTGTATATGAGAAAGTACAAAAAATCGAAATAAATCTTTTTTACTACATGTAAAAAAACTACTTGTACATACATGTATCAGTGATATATTTATAATTTTAATTTTGTACCTGTTCTCAGAATTACCCGGAATGAACGACGTACACGTGACGAGCGTTTCATTCCTTTGAAATGCTTGATTTAATTCTATTCACGAACAGAGTGCTTGATTTTTATGAGTTTCCTTGCCTTTTTGGAAATCCATGCTTCTTCGAATTTTACAAAATAAAATTAAGTCTTTTTCTCAGAACGTTTTGTACCGTAATAATACTTTCCAAAATATTGAAAAATATGATACTCTTTTCGTGATATTATATCAGATTTTTCCGTGACATATATATATATATATATACAGTATATATCCATGATGCATCTTGACTATTTTTTCGTATAAGATGATCTCTCGAAGGTCCTGAAGCAATAACTGAGGCATTTGGAGGTTTTGTATCTCCCAAAGTTTGATTATAACAGTTAGGGTTTCTGTTTTCAAGTTTAGGATTCATGGAAGTGACATTTTGATCTTTCAAGACTATCCTAATGTCGTTTCTATGCATAAATATAGATTTAAAAAATTTGAGAATGAAAAATTTATTATAATTTTTTTTTATAATTATTGAGAATAAGGAAGTCAGCTCCGATGACCTTGACCTTGATATATGTTGTCAAGGTCATGACCCTGAGTGACGTTCAACAGGTTTTAGCCATCGCTCGTTATTCGTTAAAAACACTCTCCTATTCTCAATAATTACCTTTTCTTTTTACTTTATTTTTTATAAATTCTAATAGCAGATTCTGAAAGAGCAAGAAATTTTACATAAAAAATGATATTGCTTAAAATTTTTAAGGACATTAAAATAACAAATAGGGTCGCTGAAATTTATTTAAAAAATGCGTCTAACTGAACATTAATAAACTAAGAAAAAATTAGAATTAGAATATTATAATTTACAATAAAAAATTTTTTATTAAAAAAAATGATGTAAAAAAATGTTTAAATTATGTATCACATTATTTGCATTTATGATTAAAAATAATTTTCTAAGTTAATTCGATTTTTATCTTTAATTGTATGTAAAATAAATATTTATTCCAATTTTTTATATATAAAAATCAACATCAAAACTAAATCTATAATAGATATATAACATATATGACTTACTGTAGATGCGATGGTATTTTTTATATGTGTATTTTGCAGACTGGTCAGCTTTACACACTTCTTGTAGGAATGTCGTGGACAACTCGTTGAACACATAATCCTATGGTGATCGAAAGATGAATTAACATCGGGCTCCATTTCCATGTCAAATCGACCCACTTGATAATTCATGGCAGATTTATCGCGCGCGGCATTGAATAGTTTGTAGTTTATCTGCAATATAATTAGTAATACATGCGCGCATTTATGATACATTCGATGAGAAATTATTATCTGAGTAACAATTATAGTCACCCTACTAGTAGCGGAAACTGTAATGTGTGTCAGAGTTAGAATTGCAGTCATGCGAGATGCAAGGTCATGTCTCTTTCTAGAAAGTTAAAGAATTTCGTTCCAATTAACGTCTAAGAGTAACTATTTTTTAAACTATTAATGCCGATTAATACAGCATTAAGCGATATAGTTGCGAGACATGTCCATTTGATCTTACATATTTGTTATCACAAATTGAATTAGTCGCCATATCTGAGGACAGTGTCGCTTATATTAGCATATGCCATCAGATAGGCTTGTTACAAGCAGGGCTGTGCACGTATTTGAAATACTTTTATTTGAAAAACAGTAAGACAATTGTGTATTTCGTATTTTGTATTTATCGGAGCATATAAAAATATTTTGTATTTTGTATTTCAAACACTAAGATTGACAATCAATATTACTACAATATTGCAGCAATATTACTTTGAAAGATTGCAATATTTCATAAAATATTGTTGCAATATTGTAATAATATTTCTACACGGAGAAAACGGGTACGGGTTGTCACGACCAAAAGTCATTCATCAACTATACATGTTTTGGTTATAAGAACTATAGTACGATTGTGATAACCGTAAGATTGGCATATCATCTTAACGGTTATGGCTGTAAAGATATTTATCTTATGGTTATCACAAATATATTGATGGGCGAAAATTATCATTATTTTCAGTTGTGGCAACCGTAACATTTTTTCGGTGTATATCCGCAACAATAAAATATTGTTGGAATATTCTATAATATTGCTACAATTTTGAAAGTAACATTGCAGATATATTGCTGCAACGTAATGCAATATTTCAATAATTAATTCAGTTTTATTAATTACTAAAATATTATTGTTTCTAAAATGACATTCCAAAATACACACAATAAAGTTATAATAAAAAAACATTCAGGAGCTTAGAAAGCCTACACCCGAAAGAGCTTAGGAATCTCCAGAAGACTCGCCAATTCGTTTTGCATACGCTTTCTTATAGACCTCCTGGATGTTTTCTTCTTATGAGAAGCGTGTCTATCTCGTGGCGGCACCGCGTACTTATGTGTTGAATTATAATATTGCAGCAATATAATGCAATATATTTCCTACAAAATATTAAAATTTCAATATTACAACAATATTGCTACAATTTTGGTAATATTGAACGCTATTAAAATATTGTTGCAATATTTCGTGCTGTAGAGACATCAATATAAAGACAAACTGTAACTCCCTTATTTAAGCAAATGTTCAAATTTCAAATTGCTTGCGTTCTTCTATAACAAAGTTCTGCTCTTTTTAAGAATTACTATGTGTAGCAGCTTTTATACTATTTGGATACGAAGTTACGTAAGCTGTAATTATCCCTTCTTGAAAATCTGAATACTATTTATAGAGCATATAAGTATTACTATTTAAAATAATGCTACAAATTTGGTATTAAATTTGATATTAGGTTTGATATAAAATCATATTGAATTTGTCTTAATAAAGATCCCTAAAATTTGTGGAAAACTATTGCAATAATATTACAGTACAATATTGCAGTAATATTACAATTTGCAATATTATATTATGAAATATTATTGAGATATTACATTGTAAAATATTACATATTACAGTAATTTTACTGAGATATAATATGATATATTACATAATTGCAATATCACGCAAATATTACTATGTGGTACATCGCACTGCAATATCGTTCAAATATTACAATGCCTTATATGATTGCGAGCAGTATCGCGGCACCGCCGATAGATGGAGAAGTTAAATTTCTCCTAAGTAAGAATCAGACAGAATAAAATAAAAGTTGCAGCATTATGAGAATTTTCACTCATGATTTTCAGTTGATTTTACCTGAAATAATTTTTCTGAAACAGATTCCCTAAAATAGGGTTCAGTGATAAATGTAAGACGATTGTTTCCGGTATACATTCACAAAAAAAATTATACTGTAGATTTTCAATATTACTGTATATCGAAACACGGCCTAAATGAGATTATTTTAACAGTAAAGTTCTTTGTTATTCTGTATAAAAATTAAGTTAGGGGCACATTATATTCTTGGATTATATTCGATGGCAATCCGGCAACTTGTCATCGTCTGCATGCTATTCGCAGTTAACAGCACATATACAGCAACATGACGGCAATATATGTCAAATAATAAATACTACATATGCTGATAGCTGATAATATGCAAACAAACCATGCTGTGCTACGCATTGCAAATGTTTCGAAATAATACTGAAAATATTCAATAGAAAAAATAAATTTAATATTTTTTAAGCGACAATTCACATATGTCACGTCACAGCAACGTTTCATATATATTTTATCAATTGCAATCGTTTTACAATTTTATAATTTTCGAAAACACATCGCAGGCATTCGAACTTAAGATTTCGGGGTGGTAAACCTAATACGCTTACGTTAAGCTGTATAATCGCACGCTTGTTTGTCAATTCGATATTCAAGAACTACTCAACTAGTAGTCTCACGGTGTCTCATGCGAATCAGGCGAGATTCAATGCATCAAAACCGACATCTGTTATCAGTTTATCTAAATTTTATAGTAAATTTACCTTACTAAGTCTTAATTTATGCAGTAGAAGGTTAAAAAGTTTATAAATCATTTATACTATGACATCACGTATGTAAAGGTTGTAAAAATGCATTATTACATAATATATTGTATTTAAGTAGGTAAGCTACACCAATTCTAACCCACTATGTGTGCGTATATGTATATCAGTGTGAACGCGCGTATGTATGTGTGTGTATATGTAAGGTCAAGGAAAAAGTGCGTCACAGCCGGATTGGGTCTGAGGGGCAAGGAAAGAGGAAATGCGTCGTTAGGTGAGGAGTTTACGGAAAAAGTTTTGCTATCTCCCTCCCACCCATTGCGTTTTCTTTCCAACCCATTATTGCCCTCTTTTTCCCCCCGCCTTTTGTAATAGTATGCAGTTTTCTCTCTTCCTCCCGTTGCGGTCCCTTACTTACTATGTTATTTTTTCTTTCCCGTTGTGGGCCTCCCTGCTCATCATCTTATTCGCGCTCTCTCTTCTTCCCGTTGCGTTTTTTTCTGTCCAACTCCCTCGTTTTTCTTCTTTTCACGCGTGTTAAAAATATTTTATTAAATAATTATGATATTTATTTTATGATTTTTTAATGATGCGATTTAGCAATAGAATGATACGAATGCAATTTAATAATATTTTTAATAATGTAAGACAAGTAGTCAAGCGCGCTTTCTTATCAACTAATTCAATGCGAAGGTATGAAGAAGGAATGATGGAGAGATTAGGGAAAAAATAATCGAAATTACGTTCCAGACTCCACAGATCTTTTTTTTATGAAGATTCGTCATCATTACCAAAGCCGTTTATAAAACATCTGTAGACCAACATTTATGCCACAGGAAATATTGATAGCGACAGGGCACAGATCGTAGGCTCTCTTTACTCTTCTATTATTTTGACAGGAAGTGTCGAGAAGTATGCTTTAAGCTAACTAATCGTCATAGATGACTCACCTCCTCCGGATCTATTACACCCGACAAATTGTAATGACGAAAACATCTTGTCAATTACTTAAACAGTTGGACACAAGCGATACCAAAACCCTAATCCGCACCTGGTACCTATAATCCTAATCTCAAATAGAACCGTCTTATATGCGATACCTTCATCCCATACAACCGATTCCGAATATAAAGAGGATCCTTCGCAATCGCAGAGTTGACGTTCAGTCAATCGATACTCTATCAATCCGTCATTTATTCTGTGACCGGTCCAGTTTCGTCAGTTATCTCCAGACGATTTTTTCAATCAGTCAAGTTTTTCATTAACTTGCGGCTCTTGAGTTCTGTGCGCCTTCAAGATACTTGAATTATACCAGTTAAGTCTAAACCTTACTTTTTTTTTTATTCGAAAAGTACACTCCAGAATCTTAGAATTATTTTCATCATGCGCTACGGTTCCTTCGTTATCGTAGAGCTACTACGAATTACCCGATCAAGATCGATTTGATTCGTATCATTCTTGCTACTCGGAGTTATCCGATCGACATCGACGTTTAGACCTGTGGCATTTGCATGATCCGCGAAAATTGATAGTGCGTTATTTCCCCTTTTTGCTTATTCGTTTTTTTTTATTTTATTTATTTACTAATTTACGAAATTTCGTTCTCCGTACAAATGTAAATCAAAGGTATTCGAGAAACACATAAAGAACCGCCGCAACCAAGCGTAAGCTATAAAGAGAGAGAGAGCTTAGGACGAATAAAATAAACCTAGTCAAGCAAACGTAGATTTAAGTGATTATTAACCCAATTATTATTCTCCTCCTCTCTCCCCTTCTCTCTGTGACCCCGTTAGTTCTATTTCTCAGCGTCCCACCATCCTTCGAGCCTAAACGAATTTTTCCCCTATTCCCTCATGCCCCTCTCTCACCTCCAGATCAACCAAACTCACCCTCATCAGTCCTAACGGAAAGAATCCCGGATTCACCTCCCTCTACCCCTCAATCTTCAACTTCTGAACCTCCTCGCCCCTCTTCTCCCGCGTCCTCTTCTTCTTCGATAGAATTTCTCGACGAGCTTCCTCCTCCTCACTCTAAATATTATTACCACTAGGGCAATCTTAACTCTTTTCACGCATTATTCTTTCAGTTTCCCCAAATTTCTACCCCCCCTTCCCGACAAAGCCTATGTGATCAAAATCTATGTTCTGATTATGATCTAGATGAAATTCGATTAGTGATTTCTAAAGTCGATTTTTTTTGCTCTTCTTCCCGATTCCCTTGATTATTACAAAATCCTAGCTAATTTCTTCTTTAATTTCTTTCTTCCTTCTTTCGCTGTAATCACCGAAATAAGATTCAAAAGAAAATAAATGAGCCGTAGATATTATATTCTTTATCCATCCTCCGCTCCGTCTGTACATAGCCTATTATTAATTATAACATGAAAAGGCAATTTCTTCATTTCAATCTGCTGACATACATGCGAACTTGTCTACAAATGACCAATGAAAAATTTATTAAAATAGAAACATTTGTAACTTCAGTATACAAAAAGTAAGTTTTTAAGTGAAATGTTTAATATTTTCATTTTATCACGTTAAATTAATATATTAGGCTATACTTTTAAGAAAGACATATTTATCATTTTTTTATTTTTAAGTTAAGTGAGTTATATTTATTACATTCGTAGTTCTCAATTTTAAACCAAATAAAATATGCTTGTCATTTTTATAATTTTAAGTTAAGTAAAACACATTTATCATTTTCTTAAGTAAATCAAGTAAAATACATATATTATCATTTAAGATTATAATTTTAAGTACAAAATGTCTATCATCTTTAATTTAAAAAATATTAATAAAGTTACTATTTTAAATCTACCATATTAATTAAAGTTTAAAGCTTTAAATATGTTTTATGTTTGTAACCAATCATATTTTGTAATTCAATTCTGAAAATAAATTAGATCTTAAATTTCGAATAATCTCTTTTAAATCTAGCTTCGTATCTCGTCCCTGACTTCCCATAAGATCGCACAGGTTCGTTCCCGGGTTAAAAGGATTCAATTCCTTGACTTAAATTTGTTTATTTAGTTATAATTACTTGAAAAAGAAATATTTCATTTGATTCTTATTTATATCTCTGTCTTACTTTTGATGTATCAATTCCGCATGTGCTAAACTAAAAAATATGCTTTCAATTCAAAGATATAGCGTGACAAAGTTCCACAGGCTTCGATGTGGGAAGGTAATTAAGGGCCACTTTGACCAACTCTGATTAATTTTAATCGACCGTTAGTACACTGGAATTGGCTAATCGCATTTGTCATTGACAAATATAATTGGTTAATTCCAACGAACTAATCGTCAATTAAAGTTAATCGAAGTTGGTCGAAGTAACCCTAAAAATAGATATAGCGAGCTAGGATTAAAACATGTATGAATATGAAAAACATTTAAAATTTGCAAATTTAGCTATCTACGTACTTCTTTATCTAAATACGATATTAAAAAATAAAAAATATTTTATTTCTAAAAAAATAGTATACCTAATTGTATGAATTTTGGAAATGTATACGTTCATTTCAACACAATTTATTCATTCTATTGTAACTTGCTCGATTAAGGTCCCTATTCTTGAAAAGAAATATGGTATACGAAAAACTAGAAAAATACTATAATACACGTTACGTATACTATAGTATTTACCTAATTATTTGTATACGATTTTTTTCAAGAATAAGGGTCCAGGTCAATACAGCGAATTCTGTAATTTATAACTTTAAATTAATGTTGCGATACATACGTATTTTATTAATCAACATGCGATCACAGTTTGCAATGGCGTTCATTTAGTCGAATAACTAATTGACGGTTACACCTTTTAAACATGGAATTGAAAAGGCTCATTCTATTGCACTCTGGAACCGATGCTATTGCGACTGCTCTTTGTACATATTAATAGAAGTTATTGTTTGGACTTTGCTGATGATGGCTTGAATGTAGCCGAAATGTCCGATTTTTATCTTAAGAATGAAATTTGAAATAAGTTGTGAGTTGTAACACGCATTTATTACTGTGATATTATTGCTCTCAATCGTCCGTTATTTAAATTATTACTGTACTCATTTCGAGAGCACAATTTCTTTTTATATATTATTCAATTAACACTATTTCTCTTATTTTTTGATATTGCGTCGTAATTGCGAAACAGACATGTGTTAACAACTTATTATATACAAATACATTAACATCGGATTAATATTTGTGATATTTTTGATTATTTGCTACTTTGTCAATTTTGTATATTCAATCTTTTTCCATGAATTATCAATGTAGACTCTACATTATCATTAATGCATTCCTATTTTAAAGCGTTATATTAATCTGTATGACTATTTACGCTTTAAAATGGGAAACCGAATTTCAGTTGACATTTTTGCAGTAAACGCATCAATTATTGTCAATATTTAAAAAGCGATATATGTACAAGAGCATCTTCGCAACCGCGCAATGTACTATGTTTGAGCACGCGAATTTCAGACGCTATTGGCAAACTTTAATCGTTTATAATTTGAAAAGCACTATAGCCTTGACATTTTCGTATAAGACTTTTCGTCTTAAAATGTTCCACAGAATCTGCCAATGAAAGGACATACACTTTTTCTAGGATACTTTGTATAAATAATATAAATAGAATTAATTACATTAAACTATTTTGTCGTCTAAATTTACTTATTTAATATACTACCGGAATAATGACGAGTAGTGGAATATAGAAGCTTCCTACAATCGCGTAGATTTGGTAGACAAAATGCTGGTAAAGTGCGCAAAGAGTGGGCCCATTTTGTACTTCTTCATATTCATTTCCCATGGTTAAAAGAGGCGGCAGACTAATACACATGGCTAGTGACCAAATGAGGATGATGTACAGCGACATCCGTAGTTTCGTCCTCTTCGTTTCATATTTTAGCGGTTTCATAATCAGCCAGAATCTTGAACAAAAAAAAGAGAAGTGAGAAAATCTCTATATATATTTGCATATCTTTATGTATAATTAGTCAGTATTTATATGCCGACTAATTTAACATAGAAATAAAGTTAACAAAAATTGATATAATAATCCTTGAATTCTATGAAGATTGATGAGCGACATTAAGAAATGTCGATACTAGAAATCAGTCAGATAAAAGATGTATTCGACTCATAGGTCTCACCTTTGTACGTGTACCTGTGAGACAGAGCGACTGTTCCAACGTTCACTTTCACTCTCCTTCACGCCCCTTCTTTTTCTAATTCGGCCACATGAATGGTCAGAATATGGGCGAAACAATACTATACATACATACAGGGGCGGCGAAGTAAAATTTTTCAGTGTATGGAATTCCCGAGGATAGGTAGTAAGTTGAGGGGGAGTAAAAGGGGGGATAAATATATCTCCTCATACATATTTTTTCTACAGGGCAAAAGTAGCTGCTCTGATTTTATTTTTCTTAATGAAAATATTAATGAGCTCCTCTATATTCAACTTATCGACCATTTCTCGATAAATGTACAACGTCGCAATATGATATAAACGTTTTTGTTTCATTGTCGATCGAAGATAACTTTTTAAATGTCTTAAATAAGAAAATGATCTTTCATTCGAACAAATTGATGTAGGAATCGTTAAAAGAACGCGAATAAATTTTGTGTACTCTGGTTGCTTTGTATGTGTGTACGTCTCTTGTACGCGATGAACGATATCCAATAAGAGCTCTGCTTTTTGTCACGTGCGATATGGCTGTTCAGGGCAGAAGTCTGCCACAACGATCTCGACCAAATATCACATAAATATGAAATTTAATGTATGGAATTCCATACATTGAATCATTCAGTATATGGAGTACTCCATACCAACCATAGCGGAGTAGCCGCCATACATACATATTACATACGTACATGTATACGCGCGCGCATACATGTACATACTGTATATACATTTTTTATTATAAACCCTGGTGAAAATTTTTCTCAGAATTGTTCATATAATTTTTCAGAATTTCTATATAATTTTATAACTTTCTCACATTTTTTATACGAATTAATGACGTTGCATGCTCTCCTATTGATAACATCAACCAATAGAAGAACATTATCCAATCCAAATCGGTGTAAACGCTTGAGTCGAAAACGCTATTATATTCTACAATGTTGAAGTGCATATCCGACGGGAACGTTAATCAACGGAATGTTATCAACCGACGGCACGACGTCAACTTTCGTAAAAATTTGATTTCTGACCGTTCAATTTCTCTTCTAATTCCACGAATATTGATGGAGGATCGTTGGATGATTAACTCACCTGTCTATGGAAACCATGCAGAGATTGAAGATACTGGCGGTACAGTTGAGCACGTCGGCACTGAGCCAAATGTGACACGAGATAGAACCAAAGTACCAATCACCCGATACTTGATAGATTATGGCTGGTGGCATTACTATTAAACCGACCAGCAAGTCGCTCACCGCCAAGCTGATCACCAAGTAGTTGGAGCGTCGAAATCTTTTGAAGTATATGATGATGAAAAAGATGGTAGCATTACCTGCTACCGTCAGGAAAGTGATGAAGAGGAGCAGCGCAGTTAAAAAAAATGCCTAAGAAAAAATACATTTTTACAAAATTTCTATGTCATTGTCGTATAGTAAACGTATGGTAGATGTTCTTAAGGGGATCCTAAAGTCGTCTGCTTTATTGATTACTTTTCTGATAATAAGTTTTCTGACTGCTTTTAAAAATCTTTCTTTACAATTAAAATGTATAAGCGATAATGTAATCCAAACCGGTCGAGTTTATGTAAAAAATGAAAGAAAGTTTGAAATGAAAGTTGAAAAATTACAGTTTTGTTATCGGCTTCTAACTCGCAACAATATTTGCTTTATATACATTGCAAGTTTTATACTTTGGATGCATTCCGAATTGGATGAATTGTCCAACAAGGACAAATGATGCATCATGCGCTTCATGCACAACTCGGAACGCACCTTTGTATGTATAAAACAATCTTGATTTGGACTACCCAGATAACCAAGCGTGCGATACTCGCACAAAATACCACTATCGTACTGTTACGGTACTGCCACGAGATGGCGGTGTACGGCGTAACTGTACGGTAACAGTACAAAAAGTATACATGATATTATGGTACACCGTATCAACGTTTTTTTCTGCACAAATTTCTATTAGGACCATGTTGACCAGATGTATCATAGCTATACATTCGTGATTATACGAGTGTCCGTGGATCATTGAAGTATAGCGGTTCCATACGATTTCAGAAGTCAAGCACATTGGATGGCGGTATGCAACCGAATGGGTGACCGCTTCGAAGCACTATGAAATTCGTTCCCGAATTCAGGGAAAAATTTTTTTTTTATCATGTGTATTCTGGATAATCAATAATCACAATAATAATACTCATTTTAACAATAAAACTATAAAATTAATTAATTTTGGTAACGTGCGTACCTAAGGCGTACCAAAATACGGTGTACCGATACACTTTAGGTACGCACGTACATGATAAGTACGGTACCGGTACGCATAGTACGCCGTACGCTCACCGTACCAATACCGTAGAAGTATTTTGTTATCTGGGTAGGGATTACATGAACAAACAATATAGTGTACTTAGAATTAAACTTAGATACCTAATATAAAAGATTATAACTAGTTAGAAAATTTATACGTACGTGTACGTGCAATATTGATGTAGTAGTGTGTAGTGATATATCAATGACACGTAAATCATATGTGTGTAAGTCCTACTGAATCGGTAATACAGACGACTTTAGGATCCCCTTAAGGGGATGCTGTTGTCGACTGCAATACCGACGGAACACGCATTTCGTACTTTTTTCCATTTTCTTCGTTTTCGTATAAAACAAAAATCCTTATCCAGAATAAAAGAAAAAACGCAAATAGCTGTAGAAAACTACAAACCTATATAAAAAACAAAAAAATTATAAATTACAAGCTGTTTCTATACAGGTTACATATTTCTTCACATATAAATCAAGTATATATCCAAACAAAAAATAATTTCACTATGTTTGAATAATGTATAATAATATAACGAGACCTTCAAATTATGATTTCCAACACAATATAAACTCTAATAATAAAATTCGGCATGATTACTCGGATGATTTAATAAAATTCGACTAAAGACGAACTTATAATACAGGATTAAAAATAATTAAAATTTAATGTGTTAGATATATTAAGATTTCGAGCGAAACTAGTTTCGACTGAGAAGTCTTCATCAGTCGCATAATGTACAAAAAACAAATCCAATTCACACAGAAACACCTCTCGAAAAATTTGTCGTTTGAAACCAGCATTAAAACTGTAGATCCCATATGCTTGTGGCAATTGAATAATCAGCATGCGCACCACAAGCATATGAGAGAGGTGTAATATAAACCAGAAGTTTAACGTAAGAAGAAGAAAAAATCCAATTAAAACATAATAAATATCATAAAAATAAATTTGATGGAGTTAATATAGTATGTTAATATAATATAGTAGTTAATATAATATAATATGAGATTACAATAATTACATCCATGATGTTATAGTCGAGCTGCAAAATTTCACTGTTTTGATTCCATCAACTTTGTTATTTATGTGACATTATGTTTTAATTGGATTTGTTTTTTGTATTTATATGCGACTGATAAATAATTCTATAAAGTTCTCTTCTGTAAAGTAATTCTCAAAATTAGTTTTGTTCTTTAAACCTTAATGTATCTAATCTCACATAACACTACAACAATATTACAGTAATATTACAGCAATATTATTTTTCCTTTGCAATATGACAATGAAATATAACAGAAATATTGTTGAAATATCATACTAATATTAATATATCCACGAAAATGGATCATAAAAATATTGCTATAATATATTATAGTCGTATTACAATACTGTAATATTATGTAATATTTTTGTGATATTTATGTAATATTTATATAATACTGCGAAGAATTAAATTATATTGATTCTTTTTTTAAATTTTATTGAATTCCGAGATAGCCTAATAAATTAGAAAAGTATTCAACAAATTTTCCCTTTTCATTAATTGTAATTTCTTACGAATTCATAGAAGAACATAATAAGAATTAATACCTCAAGAAGTTGCATGTATACAATTCCTGAGTATTTCTCAGAGTATTCATATAGAGTTCCCTCCATATTAACAGATGTATACTTTATAAATGCAAGCAGAATGGTGATTAAAATAGAGAGATTGCAAAAAATTAACTTCAATTAACAGTAATGTTACACCAATATTATAATTTCTCACTCAACAATGTAAGTGCACTATAACATATTTTATATATAACATACGTTGCGATGTGCGCGGTGGAAAAGAAGGGAAGGATGTTAACCAACAACGAAGTTTCTACTTATATGCAATACGAGCAACATATTATAACTCTGCTACAAAAAGAGTATTCTGTACTCTGTGCCTGTCTACTTCGGTCTATCTTCCACACGTCGCTGCTTTCTCGTCCATGTCCTCACAACGTGAGATATCGTGCATGTCGCGATGGTAACACCTTCCTTGTTTGAGGTCGACCTGAAAATGGGGAATGTGACATAGTCCCCATAACGTTCCAGCGGTTGACGTGCGTCTTTCGTGGTGGTCCCTCTTCTCCTGTGGCCTTATCGGAAATGCCGGTCAATTGTTTCTGACAGCCACTTCCGATAAGGCCACAGGGGCACGGGGGTTCCTGAATTGCCCCTAATGGCGTATGTATCGTCTTTTGGGGTGTCACTGCTGGACCGAAAATGCAAGGTACTAGGAGTTCAAACTCTTCACAGAGAAGCTCGAAAGGAATTAAGTCAGTTCCTCTACTATTTTGCCACCGCTTCTAGCGCGCATCTGATTTAGATGGACCCTACGGATCTTGCCATCGTTCGTACATACATTATACATCACCCGGCCTCTAGCTTCAATAATGACCGCCGAGATCCATTTACATTTGTTCATAGAGTAACGTGAACATGTTCTCCATTCCTGTACTCTCTATGTCGTATGCTATGTTTCTTACCAAGCCTGAAAGTTTTGATGTCTGACTGCTAGGTGGTTTGAGTAAATTTAGGATACCGCCTGAAACTGCGTTCCATTATCACTGGATAGTTTCGGGAAGTCCGCGAATAAATAAGTCTTCGAGAGTAGAAACTACAGTCAGCAGTTGTGGTTTGCATGTCGATGATTTCAGACCATTTACTATATGCGTCTACTACAAAAAAGAAGTACATATTGTGTATTGGTCCTGCGAAGTCGATATGGATTCGGGTCCATGGGCCCGACAGTATTGGCCATGAAGTTACTGGAACTCTAATTGATATTTTAGCAGCTCTAGTACAGTGTTCGCATTCTTGAACGTACTGTTGTATGTCATGGTCGATATTCGGCCAGTATACGAAACTCCGCGCTATTGACTTCATGCGTTCCACACCTAAGTGTATAAAGTTGCTTCAAGATTCTTGCTCGAAACTGTCTTGGAATGATTAATCGGTCACTCCACATCAAACATCCATCGGTTATTGAAAGTGTATATCTGTGTTTGTAATATTCTAAGAATTTGTAGCTTGTTGCATCGGTGTTTGTCTGCCATTCTTCTTAGATGTTTATCATGATCGATTTAAGAAGTTTATCCTTTGTTATAACATGCTTTACCATGTTAAAGATGAGAGGCAAAGTGTCTATTGTTTGATATAGTATTTTGCTACAGTATTTCCTTTGAGGAACCAGCTTTGATTGTGGCAATGATAGTGTCTTCCTCTTCTGCACTTTATCTATTAATCTTGACAGTACATCAACATGTCCGAAATCTGTTGTCTTGACATACTCTATGTTAAAATCATAAACTCTCAGTAATAAAGTCCATCGCTGGAGCCTATTTGCTATATAAACTGGTATGTCCTTACGTGAATCAAAAATAGTCAATAAAGCTTTGTGGTCTGTTTGCATAAATTTTCGCCCAAAAATCATGCGATGAAATTTTGTAATTGCGAAGATCAGAGCGAAGCCCTCCTTCGCTATCTGACTGTATGTTCTTTCCATTGTGGTTAAGGTACAAGATGCATGATAAATAGGTTTGATGACTCCGTTGGGGAATCGATGTAAGATACATGCTCCTGTACTTGTATTTGAAGCGTCGTGCGTCGTTTGCAACATAATTTCTTATTGTCTCGGATCATAATATGTGGATCAGCATGAGATCCGACTGAAGTATGCTCTTGAATTTATTGAAAGATTGTTGATATTCTTTTATAGAGTCTTTAGACTTCCACTGAGAATTTATCCTGAGGAGTTTATTAAGTTTATTTCCGCCATTTGTGCATGTTCTTAATATTATTTATCATAAAAATTGACCGCGCCTAGATACGAGCGAAGTGTGGTTGCATCGTATGGAATCGGCATTTGCGCGATTGCCTTTGTTCTTGCAGGATCTAAACGGATTCTTCGTTCATCAACGATTTGTCCCAGATATTTGATCTGTTTCATAAGCAATTTACATTTTTGCAACTTAGGTGAAATCTAAATTCCTGGATCCGCTGTAAAAAACTTCATAAATTTTTCCTTGACTCTTCCGCCATTTCAATTTGCAAAACAGCATCTGACAGATCGATGACAATGAATACCTTTTTGTTTGCTAGTTTTGCAAAAATATCATCTAGTGTTGGCAGTGGGTAATGGTACAGCTCCAATACTTGATTGAGTCCTGTAGAGTAGTCACCACATATGTGAATATCGTCATTAAGCTTTTTTATTACTACAATAGGTGCTGCCCAGTCAGAGTATTCGATTGAGGAAATAATATCCATTTTCTGGAGGCTCAATTCTCGATCGATCAATGGAATGGCGGTTATTGGACGTTTTGCTCGGAACACTTGGCTTCTGGTTTTATATGCAAATTAATTTTTGTCGTACAATGACTCAGAATGTCAGTGAATATGTTGGAGAATTCTGATTGGATCATTGCCTTTCATCATGAAATTTTATAGCGGTTGCGTTGATAGAAATTTCCCCAAAGTCAAGTTTGAATCAAGTCGAACCAGTCAGTGCCTAAAACATCCAGATTCTGAACGCTCGTAATAAAGGCCTCATCTGTTTTAAAATAATTGTTGCACTAAATGATGCAGATGAATTCTCCCAATAATTGTAAGAGATTATCGCTGTGCGGGCATTTTGTGCAGTAGGTTGATAAGACGGCTTGATTCAATGTCCTCCATGTGTGTTCAAATATGGTTATAATATCGGATGCGATGTCCAACTGTAACTGGACGGGGATCTGCCCAGACAACAAAAAGTGTCTAAAATCGGGTCATAAGACGTTTTTTGCGTCTAAAAAACGACTTAAAGACATCTTATGTCAATTTTAGACTTTATGTTGTTCGGATCGTTGATTTGCACCATGATGTGCTTCCTTCGATTTCCACTGATAATTTGTTTGATCTGAGATGAGTTGTTTGCTTTGGACTGGGGAGTATCATAGTATCCTTCTTTGTACCCTTGTTGTCCAGAGTGTTTGCATTTGTGATTTTCATACTCGTAATCATGAATAGTACATTACGCCACAAAACCAACATGGTGTTTTAGGTTTCCGTGGCTGATCGACACCGTTGACTTGTTTGTGTGATTTCCTGCATAATTTTGTTGATTGCGCTGCTGTTTTTGTTGTTTTGCCTTTTTACGTAAGATCTTGCAAATTGACATTGAATCCTATGTACTTGAGACGTTCACCATGACAATATTTTATTTGAGATTGACGCGGCATTGCATTTTTTGTGATCAGGTCGTGAAGCGTGAGATTTTATTTGTCGGGATGATCCAACAGTGAGAATGGTTTTATCCAGATCTCGATCTGTATTCAGTTCACTTACGAACATGAGACATTTGAATTGATCTTAGCATCCTCATATTGCTTATTTCCGCGAGAAGCATATGCCTTGAAATCTTCATTGTGATTGTTTTGATAGAGTTATACAGTTATATTATTGGATATAAGTATTACATATGAGTAGAAGCTTCGTCGTGATGAGTAACACCCACCTCATCCTCGTCACCAAATCAGTTACGTTGTGATATGCGCGATGGAAAGTAAGAGGAAGGGTTTTAACCAACAATAAAGCTTCCACTTATATGCAATATAATAAACAACCATTAATTATCCGACCAATATATTATAACTACAAAAGGGATATTCGATACTCTGTGCCTGTCTACTTCGGTCTGTCTCGGCACGTCGCTGCTCTCTCTCGTCCTCAACGTGAGATATCGTACATATCGTGGTGACAACATAATATTTACTTATTGAGTGACAAATTGTCATATTTATTAACGTAACGTCATCATTAGTTGATATTTGAGTTATCATTAGTGGATATAACACTTCTAAAAAGTAATAATTAAAATACATTTAACACATACAACAACACACATATTTATATATAAATATATATATATATATATATATACACACACACATGTAAGGTATCTCTATATAATGATCACCTCTTTTTATTTCGTAAACTAACGAAGATATACCTAATAAATATAATATCAAATTAAATGGTTCCAATTTCAATTGGAATTTCCAATAAAATCTTTTCTGATCACTTAGATCAATTATCTATTTTAAAAAACAGAAAGATATGCATAATTTTTGCACGACAAAGTAAATATTCTGATATAGTAAAAGTTGTAACGTCCAATCTAATGAATACAACGATGCATGACGTGACAATTTATTTTTACGGTAAAAACTTATTTTCATCATAAAAATTAAAATAACATTAACAACCTCCAATGGCCTTAATCTTGACAAATGTTATCTAATCACGACCCTGAACAACATTCAAGAGGTTTTAGCCGTTGGTCGGAAATTTTGGGTAATGTTAAAACCGGTGGTACTGTAACATTCAAACCTTATAACTCGAAAAGTACTGATTAAAAAAAGGGCTTCATAAGTGTTTTAAAAAGCTCTCGAAGTAAGCTATAAGAATACAAAAAAATAGGAGATTTCATTTAAGAAAACGTAGATTACATTGAAATAACCTTGAGAAGGTCACGCAAAGTCAAGTCTATATTTTCATCATATCCCCCTTAATATCCTACAACTATTGTCTGAAACATTTTTCATATCTAAAGCCGTTTCCGAGATATAGAGGTCACAGACTTCAAAGGCACCTTGTATAAAATACCTAAAAATAAGCGTGTGTGTGTGTGTGTGTATATATATATTTATATATATATATTTATATAGATATTAGAACATATACAGGTCTGATTGTATAGAAATAAAAAAAAACTGAAACATAATAGGTCTGTTCTTTTTGGCTGAACTTTTGTACCAGTACATCTTTTTTCCTTTTCTCTTCAGGAGGAAAGAAGAGGAAGAAAGATGAACTGCTGCAAAAAAGTTCAGCCAAAAAGAACAGGCCTATAATTTCATTCTATATGAATAAACACTTCTCACTAAAAAAAGGCCGAGAATTAATTTATACACCAATAAAAATTAATAGTTTCCGATAAAATGTAACTAAATTAAAAAGTTAAGAGTATAAAATGTAAGTAAGTTAAGTTAAAATTAATTAACTTTTTAACTTTTTAATTTCTATCTTTTTAACTTAATACTACTCAACCTTGCTGGGAACACATATAACACGCGCGCACGCACGCACGCACATATCTTTTATAAATTGATACGCATATATGTAAATGAGGAAATACATGAAAATAAAGTTAAAATTAATCGAATTGTAATAACTTTATGAATTTTATAAAAACAAAAAGTCGTTACAATTATGTTGCATCATAAATGTATCAATCATCATGCATCATGATGCGTATTTTTATTAATTTTAATCATAAAATTTTGAAAAAACAAGATGTATTACGCAAAAATTTACATATTTATAAATTATTTATTATATCATAAATCTGTTTATTGAAACGTCGCACATCGTATGTTTACCAATTATTTTTCAATTATTTTATTCGCGGAGCTACGCGAGAGAAATTATCACTAAATAAATTCGGAGCTGTTTATTTTGAAGCAGAAATTAATTTTATCTTTTAACTCATAACGTGACTATAAAACGGAAAATATTCGGAATACTGTTCATATTCTTTACATTTTTCTTTACTGTACGTATTTAAACGTATATGCATTTTCAATCATAAATCGTTTCTGACTACATATCAAGGATTCGGTCCGAAAAATTTCGGTCCCGAATACGGTCCGAGACTAAATCCAACTTTTGGTTCTAATTCTTTATCGTAACAGTTACCGTTTGGATTTCGATTCTTTTCGGTTTCAGTTTTCGATAATTATATATCTGTAATGGTCACTGTCATCACTAAAAGAATTGGAATCAAAAGTTGGATAGCCTCAGACCATAACTGTAACCAGGCCGAAATTTTAATCCATAATGTAATTTCAGTCCAAGTCTAAGATATAATCATTGTATGTATAGAAACGTCTACTTTAGAAACTTCTAAGAATGGGTGCTAACTTTAATTCGTAATAATTCTTTTGATTCACTCGTTTTTATCCATATTTATCTAGTTATTCATTAAGAAAAGAGTTTTATTCTAAAGAGTAAAAAAATATTGTTGCTCACTCATTCATTTATTCACTCTTGCGGAGTGTGTTCATGTTAAGAGTAAGTATACTTTATCATTTACAGAAAACTAGCTTTTTTGATTATAGTTAGTACAATTGTGTTACAATTGCGTTGCTTACCTCTATTGCATTGTAGGGAGAAAATTCGCCGGGAAAATTTATGAAGAAAGAAAGAAATGTAGTAGCTGGCTGAACATCGTTAATAAGCGGCGTGGAGTTTGAATAAATAATTGATGTTACAGCGTTGATCAGATCTTCCTCCTTTATAAAGATGATATCTTGTGATGCCATTTTGATGTTTCTCGTATCCTTTCGATCACTGGATGTGAGGATTCGCACAAGCGTATGGAAATTTTAGCCTTAATTCCAAGTGGAAAAACTCAGTAGCAGTTTCTCTTTATCCCACAGTCTTCATCAACTTTCACTTTCTGCAAAATCATGATCTCTATGAACATGAACAGTGATAATTCTGCTATTAAAACAAATTTGGATATATGCCATATATACATGCTAATTTATTACTAATTTATTGATCTATTTCCCCTTTATCTATTTGGAAGGATTAATATTAAAGAAGGTACTGAGTTCACGCTAGCACCAGGAGTCAAGAAAAACATATATATATATATATATATACAGCAAACCATAACAATAAAGCGCTCGTTACATTGCATAGCAATACATAAACAAGTTTTAAAAAATGACCAAGTAAACGAGCAAATAAACAAAGAAGTAGAAAAAATATTTAAGTAATTATATATTTCGAATTAACGTGAGCGATTGACGTTTCAACTACGCAAAGTCTTTTTCAAAATCTACATGGAATATAATTTTAACTTATGTTACAACAGACTTATTCTCAGGCGTTTTTTATATTTATGAGACATTTCATTCTCTGTTGTAATAAGTTAAATTATATTCTATGTAGATTTTGAAAGACTGTGTAATCGAAACGTCAATCGCTTATGTAAATTCGAAATATATAGTTAGTTTTCTATATCTTTGTTTATTTAATCGTTTATTTGATCGTTCTATTAAACTTGATTATGTACTATATACATAGAGGCCATATAAAACATACGTTAAATAAAAATCGATATTAAAACTTTATTCTAAATTATTGTACTAAGATATTAAATATTTGAAATGGTTTATTAGTAGATAGAATTAAGTACAAATACCGATGACATAAGCGCCAAGTAATAAAAAATAAGGAGTTGACCATTTAAGTTTAGATTAAAACATAAAGGATGTCGAAAAAAAATTGATTTTTTGTCGACTGAAATAAACCTTGAATTTGAGAGTATTTTTATAACTTTTCGAGGGTATTGAATTCAGTTATGACGTTAAATCGGCGATGAAGATAAATATATATTTTAGTAAATGTAAGATTTATATAATCATCTAACTATTTAGCTAATTTCATCTAGATACAAGCAAGTATTGCTTACGTTATTGGGAAAATACTAAGATTTATTAATATATTCCAGTATCATGTACGCGAATTGTTGACATCATCTTTGAATTCAAGGCATTTCTCCAGGGTTTTGCTGATTTTTAACTTCATATCTGAATTCAACACTGTTGAAACTTTAAAAACAACACTTGAATTTAAGGTTTATTTCGATCGGCGAAAAATCGATTTTTTTCGATACCTTTCTTTAGGATTAAAGTTATAAGGTAATAATAAATTAATACTTAATTATCAAGAGATACGATAGTGTCTTGCGCCAAATAGAAGCATAACGTGAGAAGCATAACCGCTCCGTGTATCTATGCCCAGAAAACCAAAACGTAAGTGTAATATAATTTAGGAAGTACATAGAAAAAATAATGATGTTTTTCATAGTTGTGGAGACGATATGTAATTGCTACATAATTTTGAGGGTTCTTTAAGAGAACAAAGATATATTTCTTTGTTACGTCATATGTATAATCATAACAATTATTTTAAAATGTAATCTAGCACACATGTAACTCAAAATACATAACATGTCAATAACATATTATTGTAATATAATATAAACATCTTTTTAGATATTCCTATATGTATACATAAAATATATACAAAATAGGTACAATAGTGATAAAAATTGACGCTGTATATGGATAGTAAAAAGTGCATGAAAACGATGTGGCGTCATGTAAGACTCAATTTTGAATTAATCGTAATTAGGAGGGCTATATTCGAGGAGACATTATTAAAGCTATCAATATGTTATTCTATATCGTTTATTAGATGTAAAGCAACACTGTTAAATCGATAGTGTCAAATTTAATCTAATTTTATTTCAGTCGCCGCTGCTCCTATATAATGTCAAATTGACACTATATAATTTCAAATTAAAAATATTTTTCAAATATTAAATATAAAATAATGATTTATTATAACAAATCTTATTAGATTTCGACCTGCTGAATATGATGATGCTATTAGTTTTCATTAAAATATGGGGAACATCGTTATTTTTCATATTAAAGTCCTTTCTTTGTCATTGGAAAATAGGATACTGTATATCTCAACATTTAGCAGAAACTGTGGAAACGTATCCCTATAGCACGAAATATTACAGCAATATTATAGCAATATTACTTCAAAAATTGCAGTGTTTCATAAAACATTACTGTAATATTGTAGCAATATTCCTGTGTCCGCTAAAATAAACTATTGCTAGTATATTGTAAATATTGTAAATGTTGTAAATATTGTAATATTTTGCGATATTGTTGCAATATTTAGAAAAATCTTGCAGATATATAGCTGCAACATTATGAAATATTTCAATAATTAATCCAGTTTTATTAATTGCTAAAATGTTGCTTAGCATGACATTCCAAAATACACATGACAAACTTATAGCCAAAAAATATTTGAGGGTCCAAAAAGTATATCCGAAAGATGGCCTTGGGAATCTCCAGGAGAATCGCCAATTCGATTTATGGTATATACTCGTTCTTATAGAACATTTTTTTTTACAAGAAACGCGTCTATCGCGTGGTAAGATTGCGTACACTGTAAGAAATTTCTGTTGTAAAATCACAACAAAAGTGTTGGAAGCTTTTATCCAACAAAAATGTACTGTAAATTTAAAGTGTATCTATGTTGGAAATTACAACATTTTATTGTAAAAACACAATATATGTTGTAAAATTACAACTGCATAAATTAGGATAAAGCGGGGTAATTTGGACAGGTTAACAGAAATTTTAACAGAAGTAAATAAAACATACTATTGCACCAATAATGTATGTTTTGTATATTTATTTGAACACACTATATTACCTCAATTTTTTATATAATTTCAAAATTTCGGTTAACCTATTTAAATTACTGTGCTTTATTTTATTAGGCAAAAAGAATTTAAAAACTTGTTTATATAGTTATAATTTGTTTATATAGTTAACATTTATTAATTATTACATATTTTATTCTATTGTATTATTTTAAAAGAAAATATTTATTTTATAAGAAATTAACTTAAAGAATATTTATTAGTACACTAATAAAAATATGTACAAATAAAAATGCGCGTACAAAAAGAAATTTTTTACAAAGAGTAAATAAATAATGAAATACATAGGTGCATACATATATATGCATACAATACATTAATGTTAATGTCAAAAATATACTTGAATATTATAATGAATAAAAACTTGAACACAATGAATATATAAAATATATACGGCGTAACTTTTACAAATGTCAAGCTATGGCGATAAAATTTGGTGGAAATGTCAATGATAGATGTGGCAACCTAACCAAAAAAACAGAACTCAAATCAGCTGACTCAGAGCATCACCTGGTGGTAATTCCGGGAACTTTTTGATCAAGGTAGTATATAGGTAGTATATAGGTGTAAAATATGTAAGCAAATGATTTTTTTAATACATTCCCACAATTTTTTTACGACTGGATCATAACTAGTATATTTTTTTCTTAAATTTTTGAATTTTTTTGTTGCCGTGCTTGGATTGATACTAAAGAAAACTCTGGAATAATTATTATGTAATATTATTTAAAATAAACAATATTTATATAAAACATTCGTTTTAATCGTTTGATTTAATAATAAAGTGTATCTATTAAGTTCAGGATACTCTATAGTTATAAAAATTTGATAATTTATCAATAATGACAACGATGACAACGACATTAATAACACAAATTATAAAAATATATTATTACCTTTGTATAAACTCCAAAGTTTTAGATACACTACTACAGCAGCATAAACTAAAAACGTAATACATAAGAAATGTTAATTGAAACCCCTGTAAAACAGATTTAGTTCTGCAGCAAATTTTGCCTTCCACTATTACCGCGCACCTTGCATTTTCGGCAAATAGCGATTCTCCTGTAAATAATAAATAAAATAGTAATAATAAAACCAATTGTGGTAATTTATAACGATAGAAACGTGTGTGTGAGTGCGTGCGTATGTTGTTGTTGTGTGTGTATGTGTGTGAATAAGTATTTGCAAAGTATAATTGCTGTTCAGTCGGAGATGCCTGAAACGCGTGTCAGAACTTTACACGTCTTCGGTATTGATTTGCCAGTTCTGATTCGGCTTGAATTGCCAGTTAATTCTTTTTTGACCTTTCACAAGCAGCTTTCACAATGATGTATGCAATACAGCCAGTTATACTGTTAAAATCACGTTTATATTCACTAAAAATATAAGCAGAATGCCGGCGACGGCGACGACCGAACTCTGTAATACGACCGACCACGCCGCAGCGAAAATAATGGCGGCTGGCAGGCCCAGGCGTCCCGGGACCTCGAGATATGCGCAAATCTCCAATGCGCATCCGCGACGCGTCACTTTTGTAAATTTACAGCAAATATCTATCGTAAATTCTCAAATATTGTGAAATCGCAGCAAAACGTTACATGATTTGTAAATTTACTGCATATTTCTATTGTAGGAATATTGTAAATTCACAAATATTTCTAACAGTGTACTTACCTGTTAAATTATAATATTGTATTATTTCCTACAAAATATTAGAACTGATATTATTGCAATATTTCCAAGAAAATATTAAAATTTCAATATTGCAACAATATTGCTTCAATTTTTGTGCATAGCGCACCATTAAAATATTACTGCAATATGGCTGCAATATTTTATACTGTGGGGGAGGCGTATGCAATGAGTTGGCGAGTCTCCTGGAAATTTCCAAGCCCTTTAGGTGTGCTTCCTATAGGCTCCCGAAAGTTTTTTAATTATAACTTTATCGTATGTATTTTAGAATCTCCTGGAAATTTTCAAGCCCTTTTGAGAGTACTTTCTAGGCTCCTAAAAGTTTTTTTATTATAATTTTATCGTATGTATTTTAGAATGTGATGCTAAAAAATAATATTTTAATAATTAATAAAACTGGATTAATTATTAAAATATTGCATAATGTTGCTACAAT